GCACTGGACATTATGCCCTTAGAACCCCCGCAGCTTCAGCGCGTAAGGAAATTGAAGCAAGGGGAAGTTGTCACTGTTCATGACAACGTTTGCTGGGAGGGTAGGGGACAAGGAACTACCCTTACAGGACACCTACTTTTTCAAGCTAATGATAGCTGTGTGTATGTTAAAACCACCACGTTGCGAGATATACATTTTAATCTCACTACTGCTGCCGGCAGTCATATTATTTACTGGCCTGCGGATAGAATTTTACAAGTAGCTCTCAAATTTCAGATACCCTTTAATTGGACTAGTTTAGTACCTGATCGATTTCAAATTTTGCTTTCACTGTTACCAGAGGTTCAAAGAATCTCTGAATTACAGGGGCAAATTCACATGCTTCAAAATATATATCAAGTTGAAAAGTATGCCTTTCATACAGCTTATAGAGTGTCTTCTTTATGTACCAAGAATGATGTATTGTGCTTTGTGACTAAAATTGTACAACAACCCCATCATATTATTACTGTGGGAATGTTACTGCTTTTATTGTTGTTTAGTTTAGGATTATGTTATTGTTGTTGTAAAGGACATAATAATAGTAATACCTTTCATGTCCATACTAATCATGCATTGTCATTGCATACAATTAAAACCCCTAATGTTGAAGCATTTGATGTAGAATCTGAAATCCAAGGCTTGGTGCAAATGGAGATTTAAGAATGTTTGTTGTGCTAGAAGCACAAAAGGGGCGTGTGTGGAAGTAGAGATGGAATTGAAGGGGATTTCAATGCAAATAGTCTAGTTTGTGAGCAAGAGTCAGGCTAGCTGTAACGCTAATAACGTGAGATTTGTAGAAGCGAGGATTGTGTGAGGCAAGTGAGAAAGAACGGTGTGAAAAGTTGTTGCGACCTTGTATTAGATAAATATGGAATGTAGACTATAGTTTAAATAGAGGTGAGAAAAATAAGATATCAGGATGACCTATGTATAAATAAAATGCAGCTGTTGCCCATTATTGTCTGTAACAAAAGGTATAAATGCTTGCTGTAATTGTTTACCTAGAGAGAGACCTGTTTTGCTCTCTCCCTCCACACAATTGCTAGAGATAATAAAGTATCTGACTTGCTGCACCCAACGTGAGAGTGAGAACGCAGTTTTTTTCCGACAGACACTTGTGTATTTTTATGTCTGATTTTGTAAGCAACTAGTTTTTAAGTGAGGTGAAACTTAGGGGTACGCAAGACAAATCAGATTCCAGAAAAGGGTACAGTAGTCTGGAAAAGTTGAGAGCCACTGCTCTAACTTAGTCTAGGACCTGCTATCAACAGCCTTCATACCCCCAGTCCTGTTTTCCATGGATGACAGCCAGCCAACTGTGCCTTCCCTTGGAAAGCTACCACCATGGCAAAGAGTGGCAGCATTCACATCTCATGTGTAGTTCCTCTACTTTTGACCTGAGAGCCATCAGGACTGGAGTTTGGATATAAAGTTCCTTTCAGGTGGCCCTTCCCTGTTGCTAGGTTCAGGGGTAGGCAACCTATGGCACGCGTGCCAAAGGCGGCACGCAAGCTGATTTTCAGTGACACTCACACCGCCCGGGTCCTGGCCACTGGTCTGGACGGCTCTGCATTTTAATTTTAAATGAAGCTTCTTAAACATTTTAAAAATCTTATTTACTTTACATACAACAATAGTTTAGTTGTATATTATAGAAAGAGACCTTCTAAAAACATTACATTGTATTACTGGCATGCGAAACCTTAAATTAGAGTGAATACATGAAGACTCAGCACACCACTTCTGAAAGGTTGCTGACCCCTGTGCTTGGTTATCTCTGAGACATACCCCAGAGTAAGGCTCAGCTATACAGTACGACAACATCTCAATGGCACTATATAA